GGGGGGGGGGGGGGGGGGGGGCATTCTCGTGTGTTGCGCCTTGCCGTTAGTCTTTTCGACGCCAACGGTCAAGCACCTTGGTTTTGAGACGGGGGAGATGTTCGTATTTTCCAACGAGGCCATGCTTGCAACGTTTGAGCGCTTCACGCGACGGTTCTTGGCTGCAGACGTGTGCGGGACCGCTATGTCCTCGTCCATGGTGTGGATTATGCGTGTGCGCAGGGTGAGGTTGTTCTCGTCTCATTCGCGCGCCGTAGAGCGGCGGGGCCTCCCCTGTTCGAGTGATTCCACGGGGCCACTTTGTAGCTCGTCTTGTCACGCTGTCGAAATGGAGCGAAAGGGGGCACGCTAAGCCAAGCAATGCTGTTTTTTTTGTGTGTCCGTCGGGTGGTCGGGGAGCGTTACCCAGCCTTGCTCAACATGAACCAAGGGAGGTTAACGTTGCTGTGCAGCGTGGTGTTACCCTCGGACTGGATAGCTCTCACTCCGCCCAAGCATGCCTTAACGCTTGTCAGCGCTGGGTTGAGCGCATCACGCCTAGTCCGCCACCGCATTCTAAGTATGAACTGTGCAAACTATGATGGAAGAGGCCCGAGACGAGTCGAGTGGGTTGCTGCTTCGGAAGGAAGTCGGTTGGGCAGCATTTCTGAAACAGCCCAAAATTTGTGGAGGCAGTATATTTCGTCTGGTCTAATGACCGCCTGCTTTTTGCCAGTAAAAAAAACGGAAACGTGACCTCCTCCACCAGGTTGACAAGAAGGACTTGACGTCCAGCGATCCTTATCTCAAGATGGCGCGCGTGCTGGAGACGGGAGAGCAGACGTACATCTTCAAGACGGAAGTTCAGAGCAGAACGCTTAATCCCGTGTGGAGGGAGATACAGGTATGCGGTCGCGTTTTGGCGGGTACCCATCTTTTGGTCATGGCATCCAAACCCTTCGGTCATAGGTCAAGACAGCAGTTATCGGCTTCCTCCCTCTCTCTCCGACACGACGTCGCCTCTTTTTTTAGTTATCGGTTTCGTCCGTCCATCTGTCTGTGTGGCGCGTGCGCGCCGGTGCTTTTTTTTCTGTGTGTGTGTGCAGGGCACGGTCCAGCAGCTGGCGAACGGCGACCTCCTGCGTCCCCTCCGGGTGGAGTGCTGGGACTACGACAGGGCGGGCGGGCACGACTTCATCGGCGGCTGCTCGGCGTCCATCACCGACATGCAGGTGCGGCGTTTCGGGGAGGAACTGCTGTACCAGCTCGGCGAGAACAGGCCGGTTTGGGCACGAGGAGTCCATTGACGTGAAGGGCGTGGTGCACCCTTGGCCGATACAAAGAGGAGTGTACGAAATCTCGACGTCTGGTTGGTTGGTGTGAGCTTCGGGGGGGGGCGCGGGGGGAGTTGGGGAAGGGACCGTCATGCCCGTTTGATTTAGTAGTGAAGTACGTCAAGGCCCGTAGCGATGCACTTCTCTGGAAGGACGTTCGGGGGGAGGGGGGGGGGCTCGAGGATAGTTTCTCGGTTCGATGTGAGTTGATTTTGAGGGATGTCAAACAACAGGCAGGCCCCCGAATCGAAAGGAGGGGAGAGTACAAACTTATCGCAATCATTGTGAAGGGGTGATTTTAAGAAGCTAAAAAAATACGAACGAGAGCGCACTCGAGGGTATCAAGTAGGCAGTAAAACGGGGAGGAAGAAGGGGTCTCATTTCGAGATGAAGGTATATCATGACAAGCGGAAGAATTAAAAGCACACACACATGCACACGGCAGATGACATAGAACGTTTCGATTAGTGGGGACTCGAGCCAGCAACAAAGGTACGGCAGATTAGACGAATACACCAGCAGGGGCAGCATTTTCTCCCTCTTTCCTCCGTCTGATGTGTTCGAGAGAGACAGAAAGCCCACCACGTCCTGACCCGCCTCCCCCCCCTGCTCTCGACCGATGCCCGTCAGAGGTGGTCGACAGCGTCGGATGATGCTTCGAGAGGCCCGGCCCTTGTGAACCCGAAGAAGGAGGCGAAGAGTGCCAGCTACAAGGACTCCGGCAGGCTGGTCGTGGACTTGTGTACGATAACCGAGCGCCCGTCCTTCTTGGACTACATCGCAGGTTAGGTTAGGGTAGGCCGGTGGTGCCTTTTAGGAAGGGTCCGAGGGAGGAGGAAGGTGTTGGGAGTGTGCCGCTGCTGGATGGCACGTGCCCTGATCCTTGGTGCATGGCGATACACGTGTGGTGAAATAACGAACAGGAACATTTTTTTTTGTTGTATGACCTGTACCTCACGCAGGCGGAACGGAGATCTCGTTCACCATGGCGATCGACTACACGGCCTCCAACGGTAATCCCGCCGACCCTCGCTCGCTGCACTACGTCGATCCCGCGGGAGCGGTTCTGAACGACTACGCCAGGGCGATGAGTGGCATCGGTCGCGTGTTGGAGTTCTACGGTAAGACGAGAGCTTTTTATAGGGTCGTCTGTTTTCGTTTCTTTCTGAAGTCTTGTCAACGGTTACGCAGGGTCAGAAACTGGAGACAGCGAAACATTAAGTGTTTTTTTGTCTCCCATAACGCGAGAGGTCTTTCACCGTTTTTGTGTTGACGTTTTCGCCTCAAGTGCTGTAGTTCATTTTTATTCGTTTCTTGTGCTGTCGCTGCAGACACGGACAAGAAGTTCCCGGTGATCGGTTTCGGAGGTAAGCTGGGACCGGACCTACCGGCAAACCACGCGTTCGCCGTTAACTTCCAGGAGGAGGCCCCTGAGGTGGAGGGCATGGCGGGGGTGCTGCAGGTGAGCTCAAGCGTGCGGGGGGGGGGGGGCGTACTCATTTGTTGCTTGCCGTAGTCATTTGACCATTGACCACGCGTCCCTTTCGAGACGGAGCACCGTTCCTACACCTACTAGAGACACCACCAACATTTGGGAGCTCTTTACGTTTCTGCCACAAACTCCATAAAAATTTCTTGCACATCTTATCCCCGTCCTCTAGCGCCTCTTGTGCCCACCATCTATCCCCAATTATCGCGATCGTTTTTTCGCTGTTGTCTAATTTACCAAACTTGTCCATGTCACACCCTCTCTGTCTCATTTCCTCCTCGAGATCCTCTCTTTCCTTCCTGTACAACTCACACTCCCCAACTATGTGGGGTCTACTCTCCTCCGATTTGCCACATGGACATGTGTGTCTATCCTCCTCTTCCTCTCTCCTACGGCTGGTATACCTCTTCCTCCGTTCTGGCAAGTCCAGATCGCCTACTCGAAATTGCAATTTCAGCTTTTTCGCATAGTCCATGGGGCCGTCCAAGTACTTCTTCATCCCTATCCCTTCTTTCAACTTCCCGTATATCTCCAAGTGGTCTTCGCTTCGTACCTTCTTCCGAAGGGTTGTCTCCTCCCTACTCTCTAGCATCTCCTTGACTTTCGTCTTGAACCCCCCGAACCCTTCCGTGTCCAACGTCTCCTCCTCGTCTCCTATCTCCTTCCAAACCTTCTCTACCACCTTGTCCCATCTGATTCCCTTCTTCCCTGGAGTCGCTTTTCCCCAAGCTGCCTCGTCAACCATGGCTGGTAGTCTATCGTCCGACATTCTACTTACCTTGTACTGCCACTTCAACTTCTGCATGTCTCTCTTTGTTTTAAGAGAGTACATTCCCAATTCTGCTCTCAATACAGTGTTGCTCGTTGTACTTGAACATCCTAGTATTTTCTTGGCCGCTGCCATCTGCACCGTTTCCAGCTGCTTGACGGCCTTTTCGTTACCTTCCCATATCTCTCCTGCATACTCTAGCTTAGGTACAATCACCTTCAAGAGAATGCACCTCTTAATCCTAGTGTCTAGGTGTGGGTCCGTAAGGATCTCGTCCATCTTGCCTATCTGAGTTTTACCCTTCCCAATCAACTTCGCTATGTGTGCGTCCCATGAGCACTCCTTCGAAATCTCTACTCCCAGGTACGTATACTTGTCTACTACCGGTAGTTCTTCCTCCCCCTATTTCCATTTGAATTCTACGGGATTTTTCTTATCTTCGTTACAGACCACTACTGCGCATTTTCCTACGTTCGCCGACAGTCTCCATTTTCGGGTGTATCCTACCGCCGCATCTATTTGTTCGTGCGTGCGGGGGGGGGGGGGGGATCCCTGGGCCAGGGG